TCCTCGCTCTGACTGAGGAGGGAGACTGGCCCCTTCATTGAGCATCTGTTCCATTTCACCCCTTGCATCCCAGACCTACACCTCCCTCTCACGCCTAACATCCTATTTCTAATGCAACTCCTTTAAGATTCACCAGAAACCCTCCCTAGCCTATCTCGAGAGCAGGTGCCTTGATATTTCTTGAAACTCCTGTGTGATGCATGCAATGCGCTCTGTGAATATTCATCACACACATGGGTCCCATGGGTCCCATGGTTAACTATTCACTTTACAGGAAAAGTCTGGAGCCACTGAGCCCAAAGGGGTGGAATGTCACTGAATCCAAGTATTCCCACAGTAGGGATAAGCTTTCACCGTGAAATGAATTATTAAAGTCAGGTGAATAACTCCTTTTTATTATTCAGTGGCTCTTGATTTCATAGCTGGAACAGGGTTGGGGCAAACATGGAGAACTCTGCTTGGAGTGTCTTTATGGAAGGAAAGAAAAATCCCACCACTCTACATACTTAAACAGAGGTTAAAACCATACCATTTCCTTTGGAAAGAAAAGATTCTTATGAACTGTGACCGTTCTCCCAAAGGGGCCTGAGTCCCGCCTTCCTTCTTCTCATTAAGCCGCCACATTGCCTCCGTGTCAAGCTGACTGGACGAGCTGAGAGGCACACCCAGCCCTTCCCTCAGCACCGCAGCTTCTGGTCCCGGCTAAAACTCACAATGCACTCTCAGTATTCTTGCTCTTCCTAACTTCGCTCTTGAAAACTGGAGTGTCTGTCCTGGGGCAGTTTGAAATATAGAGACAAATGCTTTCAACTAAAATAAGGCTTGTCCTTCAAAGTTGTGGCCTTGGGGTCTCCCCACGTAACCCAACAACTGCCATTGTCCAAAGCAGTAAGCCTGCTTGGGCATTGCCTTTACAAGAAAGTCAGGCTCCACTCTGCAGCGCCATATTGTGTTTTATTAAGAACTAGTGGCCCGTTGCACGAAGATTCGCGCAATAGGCCTTCCTTCCACTGGCTGCCGGCACTGGTTTTCCTCCGGCACCCAGGGCCCAGGCCTTTGGTCCGGCCACAGCAGCGAGGCTTGGCTTCTCCACTCCGGTGACTCCCAGCCCCTCCTTCTTTTTTCCCCAGCTCCTCGAGTGGAGCCCAGGCTCCCAGCCACTCCTCGAGCGGAACCCAGGCCCCCAGCCCCTCCTTGAATGTAGCCCAGGACAGGCTGGAAGCCTGGGGTGCCCCTGGCGACCCAGGCCCCCAGCCACTCCTTGAGCGGAGTCCAGCTCCATGGCCGTCGCCATCTTCAGTCGTCTTCAGTCTTCGCTCCGCGCCTGCCTATGCAAATTAACCGCCATCTTTGTTGGGTTAATTTGCATAATTGCTCTGATTGGCTGGTGGGTGTAGCGACGTGGCGGAGTGACGGTTAATTTGCATGTTTCTCTTTTATTAGTGTAGATGCTGGTTCCCCCGGCTGGTGTGGCTCAGAGGTTGAATGTCGACCCAGGAACCAAGAAGTCACCAGTTTGATTCCTGGTCAGGTCCCATGCCCAGGTTGTGGGCTCAATCCCCAATAGGAGGCATGCAGGAGGCAGCTGATGGATGATGTGTCTCTCTTATGGATGTTTCTATCATCCCTCTCCCTGCCTCTCTCCCTAAATATCAATAAAAACAGTAAAGAAAAGAATGCTAAAAAAAAAAAAAAAAGAATGCTATGTCCTAGCTTAATTGTTTGAACAGATCACTTTTGGTTTGAGAAAATGGAGTCCATTCTCCCAGGACAAAGATTTGCCACCACTGAGGAGAGAGAAAGGAGCACATAGCAGATTCTGAAGGCAATCAAGCCTGGAGGCTTTCCGAACTTGCGCAAGCACCTCATCGCAGGATGCGAGTATCTGCAAATGCTTAGGGGGAAGGGGGGGGG